CCGACCGCGGGGGGGGGGGTGTCGTTCTTTTGTGGCATGACCTATATTTGCGTGGCTGGGGTGGGCTGCCAGACTGGCACACGCACCGACGCGGGGAGGGGAGGGGAGTGGGTGGCGGCGGCGGCGGCGGCGGGCGATGGAGGTGCCGGAGTGCGCCTCTCCCCGGGCGCCCACCCTCAGTCCCCGGAGCCCTGGGTGGCACGTGCCCGGGCAGCGCCGGGCCTCCTCGGGGACCAGGGCGAGGTTTGGGCTCCTTGGCGGCGGCGGCGGAGGGGGGGGGCGTGTTGAGAAGGGAGGCTGGCACTGGGGGGTGTTGCTTCCCGCGCGGCCTGGCCCGGCGCCAGGGGGAGAACGGGTCCCTTTTGGATCGCGCCGGCCAGGCTGGGTGGGTGGGGAAAAACCAGCCGGTGCCTGCTCTTCTCGCTTCCCCGAGGACAGAGGCGGCGGGGAGCCGGAGGCAGGCGTGCCATGCCCGCGGCCTGGGTGCAGTGTTCCCTCTAAGCTGAGTTAGTGTGAGCTAGCTCACAGTTTTGTAGCCTCTGGCTCGCACATTTTTGTCTTAGCTCAGGAAGGATGGGGCTCCAGAGCAAACTGATTTATGCAGTAGCCAAATCACCCGCTCACAACTTTAATGCCGGTAGCTCACAAAGTAGAATTTTTGCTCACAAGACTCCACAGCTTAGAGGGAACATTGCCTGGGTGCCAGTCCCAGGTGCCCTCTGGAGCCCCTTTGCGAAAAGGCCGACCTGGGGCTTCCTGGTGGTTTGGGGGGACCGGAGTTGTCAAAAGCCACCCCTCCTCCCAATGGTGCCCTTTTCCCCCCCCCCCCCCCCCCCAACACAGAGGCGCCAGAGGCGCCCCCTCCATGTGTCGGCGTGTTTGGAAACTGGAAGGCAAAGATGCCCGTTGGGAAGGGGTGAGGGACATTCCTCCGAAGTCCCAGCCACCGCCACCCCACTTCTCCCTCCGCCAAAAAGTGGTTTCGGGGGATTTGGCCTGGTGCCGCTGATATTTGGTTCCCTGTAAACAGGCAGGCTCCGGAGAGGAAATCTGGCACCGGCGCCCTGCTTAATATGAGTCAAGCCCGCAGTTGGAGCTTCTTCCGTGGGCTGGATGGGGTTTTTTTCCCCCCAAACGGGAGGGCGCATACCAATTTGTGTCCCCTGTTTTGTTCCTTGCTATGTGCTTGGCAAAGGGGAGTCTGTTTGGACACCGGGTGGGCCTTGTTTGGTGGGAGGCGTTTAAATGAAACTGCTGGAGGTTTTCTGCGTGTGAGTGGGGTAGACGACCAAAACGGGGCTCCCCTTTCTTTGGGAAGCCCCCCCTCCTGCCTACAGCGAGGGGTCCCCACGGGGCAATTTCCTTCCACTTTCTCCCTCTTCCTTCCCTCACACCAGCCTCCAGTGTTGACCACCACCGCCCCCTGTGCATCCCTCAGGGTGGCGCATGGATGCTCCAGGGCGAACCCCCTCCCGTGGCTGCGACATGCCCCTTGCCACAGGTTCTCGGGGTAGTCTTGGCCTGCCGCCAGAAGAGGTGGGGTTGGGGTTGGAATCGCGGCATCGCTGGTTACGGTTGTGCTTTTAACAACAACGGGGGGGGGGAGGGAAAAAATCAATGGGGGTTTTAAAGTAATAATCTGGAAATTGTCATGGCCGCCGTGGAGAGCCACGGGGAGCTAGATCAATGGGGGAGTTAACGGGGCCTGCGCTGCATCCCTAATGCTCGGCTGGTGGGGTGGGGTGGAGCCACGAAGGGGGGCATGGCTGCCAAGCCAGGGAGAGGCCGGGGTGGTGGTGGTGGAGAGAGGGCAGTGATGCGCCCAGAGCTGAAACGGGGGGGGGGATGTGGTTTGGGCCTGGGTGGGTGCTGGGCCGGCAGTGGGCCGCTTCCTGGGCCACCCAAAGGGCTCCCCCCCCCACATACACTTTCGGTAGCCTTTGCGTCTCCTCATGCGCGGGACCCCCGTTTCCTCCAAGTCTTGGCTGCGAACCGAAGTGGGGAGGGACGGATCAGGCAGGGGAGGTTGCGCGTCTGGCTGTGCGTGCCCTGTCTGTAAATCCTCGCCGTCCCCCCCTTCCCCGGTGTGTCCGTCTGTCCTTCTGCGTCTGGGTCTCACGCCCTCGCTTGCCTCCCTTTTGTGTGCCGAGGGAGCACCGTCGCCTTTGAGAATGTCTTTTGAGGCGGAAGCCCGGGCCTCATAAATTGCGCCTCTGAATCGGGTGCTGGCGGGCGCTGCACAATGGCAGAACGGCCGGCGCGGGGCCCTTGGCGGAGACCACCCCGCCCGCCCTTTCCTTCCTTCCTGTGGCCAAACAAGCTTTCTCCCCCCGGACCTGACTTTTCTGCGGTGTCGTGTGAGAGAGGTGGTTTGGGGGGGAAAGGGGGGTGCCGGGGAAGCCGGTTGCTAGGGAGCCGCATAAAAGGCGCAGGTAGAGTTTCTCTGCAGAGTCGGACCCACAATGCATTGGGGCCTCCTTGGCGATGGTGGAGAGAATGGGCCTGGTTTGGGGAAAAGCCTGGCTTGGCAAAGATTCGGTGGAACCTCCGCGCCGAACAGCCGAACACCGTTGCCTCCGCGGGTGCCTACTTTTCCTCCGGCCTCCCACCTTGGACGTTCAACTGTTGCTTCTTCCAGGTTGTGGGGAGACGCTCCCCACGGCCCCCTTGACTTTGGAGGGCTTCTGCTTGGTTTCTCTTCTCCCTCCCCCCCTTGGCAGGCCCACCTTGAGGGGCCAGGTCTTTGTGGCGAGCTGAAACGGCGTGGCGGGGGGGTGTCTGCCGCAGAGCCATGTTGCCGGCGCGTCGGGGATATTTATGGCGAGGCAGTGCGGCAGTGCTGGCTCGATCGCAGCCGCGCATACCCATGCGCCGGGATTTTGGGGATAAATTATCGGTGGAATTGGTCCTCGTAGGCCTGGTCACCGGGTGTTACACAAGCCGTAAACAAGCCTCCACGAGACGCCTTCCCTCCCCCATCCCTGTGGAGTTCAGTGACTCCTGAGACCTGTTTGCTTCTGGTGGCACTGCTTGGGCTGGGCCCTGGGTATGTTGTCACCCTGCTTTGGGGGACCAGGCTTAAGGGCAGCTGCCCCTTCCCAGTCCCTTCTCTGTCCGTCCTTCTCCAGAGAGCCGACTCCTTTCCAGTTCTTTGAAAACATGTTAGAGATACCCAAGAACCTCTTCCCATGGAAGGCTAATTTGTCCTTGTGAATATTCTCTTTCCTCGTTCACACGTGTGCTGGCATGGAGGGTGCTTCTGCCCCATGGTGTTGGGTTTTTTTTTTTTTTTGGGGGGGTGCCCTGCTTCAGGGCTCATTTTGTAGAAAAAGAGGTGCAGGAGCTCATTAGCATAATTCATTTGCATAGGCCACACCCCCTGACATCACCAGAAGTGTGTCAGAAGGCAACACCCACCGCTCAGGCTCCACCGGACTGTTTTGGATTGCTAGCTATGGCAGGGGGGGGGGAACGTGCAGATCTGTCCTCGCAGAGGAGGGAGAGCTTGTACCTGAATAAAACTTGGTCTTAAAGGTGCCACTGGACTGTTTTGGACGGGGGGGGGGCGTGGGGAGCTCTGCAACTTATCTGGCTGCTTCTTGCTCTGACTGAGGGCTGCTGGGAGCAGGGGGCGGGGCTTCTTGCATGTGCCCGCCCCCTGCGCTCTTTACTGCCGGAGCTCCGCTCCCGTGCGCTTCTGCAGGAAATGACCCCTGCCCTGCTTTCACCTTTCTCTCCTGCTGCATCGCCTCTCCCCATTCCTCCAGGACTGTGCCGTATCTCCCATGCTCTCAGTCTCCCAAAGAGCAACGAGAGACAAAGGGTGATGTTGGGAATCCACCCGTCCTGCTACAGTCATATCTGTTTCATCTCCCGGCCCCCTTTTCTCATTGGGTCTTTTCAACCATCCGCAGAGGTGTCTGTGCTCTCTGCAAAACCCCCAAGGGCTTAAGAAAGGATTTTCCCGTTTCTGCAGGCCACCGTTTAAACTGGTGGCCAGTCCTGTGCGGGGTTCCCAAATGCTCAGAATCCTTAGGTGCCAAATGTTTTGGTGCCTGGGTCACCCGCAGCCTGGGATTGATATAGGAAGTTGCCTTGTCTCAAGGCAGACCGACCAAGCTCAGTTTTGATGGTGCCAATAACCCAGCCGGCCTTCTGGAGATCCCCAGATCTGTGGTCTTTCTGAATGCAAAGCAGTTTACGAAGGAGTCTGGGACCACAGATGTCTGATATCTGAGATCCTTTACTGTTGGGGTGTCAAATGTGCTGCCCGGGGGCCGAATCAGGCCCCCGGAGGGCTTCTATCAGGCTCGCAGTGGAACTGGCTGTCTTCTGCTTCTTCCAGTTCTGCTGCTGCCGCGTCATTGTAGGTTTGCAGCTTACGGATACACACCTGAACAGCATACTCAAGATTGCAACAGCACAGACTTTTTGAGGCAGTAATTCAGAGCAAGAGGTGTCAGTTATCAGGCACTGTTAAATAAACAAAATATTGCAAGAGTGCTGATGTTTTAAGGTTGTTTTTATTTCAAGTAAAAAAAAACCCTTTATGTTTGTGTCCTTTATAAAGTTTATGTCTCTGCTACCTGGCATTACATTTTATGACACACATGGCCCGGCCCGACAAGGTCTCATTTATGTCAGATCCAGCCTTCATAACAAATGAGTTCGACACCCCTGCTTTAATGGGAGACTGAGATAGAAGCTCTCCAAGGTTTCAGGCAGAGATCTTTCCCATCACCTACTGCCTGGTCCTTTGAACTGGAGGTGCCGGGGATCGAACCTGCGACCTTCCGTGTACAGGGCAGAGGCTGCTCCACTGAGCCACACAGCCCCAACTCAAACTGGTAGCTGCTCTCCAGGGTCTCGGGATGAGGTCTTTCACATCACTAACCACCTGGCCCTTAACTGGAGATGCCGGAGACCGAACCTGGGACCTCCTGCATGCAAGACAGAGGGTCTATCACAGAAGATAGATCCAGGTGGTCATCCGTGTTGATCTGAAGCAGTAGAGCAAATTTAGAGTCCAGTGGCACCTTTAAGGCCAACAAAATACTTAGAATAAAACTGTGTTGGTCTTAAAGGTGCCACTGGACTCTAAATTTGCTCTATCACTGAGCCACACTCCCTACTCTGACTGGTCGAATCTCTCCAGGGTTTCGGGCAGAGATCTTTCCCATCACCTCCTGCCTGGTCCTTTTAACTGGAGATGCCGGGGGTTGAAGCTGGGATGCGGTTTTGCC